TGCTCAATAAATTCCTTGGCAGGAACAAGAAGATGAGCTTCCTGGAGAATCACGACATGTGCACGTAAAAAGAAGAGCATGTTGAAGAAAAGGTTGTTCTCAAATTGCTCATTCTGAAGTGACATGGCGCTCTGTTTGCGTGGCCTCATTGCACTATCAAGTCCTTGGAGAAACCTTGGTGTGGTGTACTTCTGACCACGAACCATGTTGCCATAGTTCCAGGATAAAAATGTCAAGGACTCTGAGCTGGCCAATAAGTTAGTTCCATATGGTTCTTCTATTCTTCCTTTGAGGAACCTTCTGCACAGCTCTTCATAGAAGGTGACAAAGTCCCAACTGGGTCCCTTTGGACCATAGGATTCCAGCTCCTTCTTAAGTTCTTTCTTCGTATCCTCCAATTCTTCTCGAGCATGTCCTGCCCTTTCAAGGGCCTTTGGATCGACCTGATACTTGCCATCCAAATAAATGATGCGATCATCATTGATGAAGAATCTCTTCAAATCATGCTCTGGTTCATGTTCATAACAATCAGGTGGAGGTACTGGACAGATATTACGAATGGATCGAACAAAGTCATTCTCGTTGATCCTTGACTGATAATGAGGATGGGAAATCTCACCTTTTCTGAAACAAACATGGTTCAGCAATCTTGCGTGAGTTTCCCTGAAGCATAGTTGATAAAGGCCAATACCTGGATCTCCTGTAAGCTCTCCAAGCAACTTCAAAGGTGAAGTATGCAACTCATAGGTATTGTCAACTTTTGTTGTATCCTTTTCAACAACTACTTCAGATGGAAAAGATTCTTGGATTTCAGCCTCCAATTTCTTCTCTCCATCATCCTCTCTGACCTCTTTTATTTTCTCCACCGCCTCTTTCTTCTCTTCCATGGTTGCATCATCCTGAACTTCTTCATGAAAATGAGGATCAGGAATCTTATTCAGGCGGCTTTTCTTAGATTTCCGCTGACCTGAAGTATCATCAAGGTTAGCATCCATCTCACCTGATGGTAAGTGCGATGCAGTCGAGTCCCCACCTATCTCTCTTGACAGAAAGTGTGGTGTTGACTCTTCCTTGGCTTCCTCCTGGTCCACTTCCATCTTTGGTTCCTCTGAAGGAAAAACACCTGCATTCTCATCAAATATTTCTTCTTCCTTTCCAGGTTCAACTGCAGGATCTTCTTCAGGAACTTCCTCTTCCATATTCTCATCTTCTAGAAGTGTCCTACTTCCAGTATAGACTTCACCAGCAATAGTGGAGACTCTTGTATAAGGAGGAACTTCTTCACCTGCTTCAAAAGCTTGTTCTGCAACATCCTTGGTGAGCAAGTCCTCTACAAGATTTTCTCCCTCGGTTCTTGGAAGAGGTCCTGAGGTCTCATAAAAATCTGTCCTCTCTGAACTGAAAGCTTCTGTCGCCTTCTCATTGTCCTTTTGATCCCTGAACAGGTGAGTAATCTTCACAGCTTCTCCCTGTAGCACCTGATCACCTCCTCTATACTTGTCGACAATGGAGCGCCATACTGGAACATCATCATCATCAAAATCAAGCTCCATATCATCTGCCAACAGGTATGAGATGTTTTGAGCTGCCTGTTCTTCTTCTTCATCACGTTCCTTGGCAAGCTCCTCATCCTTCTGGATCTTGAAGATACCCTTCAGGATGTCTTGTAGTACCTTTAAGTTCAGCTTCGATGATGGCTCATACGTCCCTGAACTTACAGGCTCAACTACAACACGAGAGCAAGAAATCGCCTCCAAAAACTTGGAATTGTATTGGCGTTCGAACTCTTCCTTCTTGATCATCTCATACAAGGGATCAGAAACTGCAACACGCGCCTGAACATACTCACGAAGTTGATAGCATGCATGTTGCACAAATCTACTGTTCGAGTTGTGAAGAAAACTCTCCAAATGATTCCTGTCACGGTCAATCAAATACCACACAATCCTTGCAGAAAAACGGAATTTCTTGAAGTTCATAGCAAAATGTGTATGATACTTCTCTGGATTCCTTTCTGCTTGTAAGGCGGCCTCTGAAGTCTTGTAGGCTGGGAGATTTGTGTCTGGATCCAAGATCATAAACTCTTCCCACAAGATCGAGTGGTCAAGAACCCACTTGGGAAGCACCTTGATGAAAAAGTCACAAACAAGTTCTGACACAAGGTGCATGACACGACCAATCTCTTCCTCCTGCTTGAAGCGATAGTGCAATTTGGCAAACAAGGGATTGTTGAATGCTTCCTCCACTGTGTTGCCAAAATTATCCCACTGAGGTTCTGGAATACCAAAGTTCCAACCCAGCAATTTGGGATCTCTGCACATATCCAAGAAGCTTGAAAGCTCTACAGAAGCAATGCCATGGTCTGTCAGAATTTCAGCCCAGCGGCGTCCATTCTCCCAAGCACGGATGAAGAAAAACTGTTGGTATCCAGTTTGTGCCAACTCCATCCACTGAGAAATTCCGGGTTCAAAACTCGGTGCATACGTCTTGGGGTCTTCCTCTGTTCCATAAACACTTGGACGTAGCAACTTGTATCTTCTACCAAAATATTCTCTCTGGTGCCTTGTCAACCTGTCCCAATCCCTCACGAGGATCACGTCTTCTCCAGTGCTCTGGAGTACACGTGTTCCTACACGATCATGGAGTGATACCATGCCAATGTCATATACCATCCATGGGTTGAGAACCAGGTTGTTGACATTCTGAATGAACCATGTCATCTCACGCTCAGCAACATGAGCAGAGTCATCTTCTTCATCTTGTTGAGGTTCTCCAGAAGTCCTGGCTGTTGAGCTCTTCGAAGTGATGTCCGTCCAAATGTGATCAAAACGAAGCACTTCCTCATCAGCCTTCACCAGTTTCGCCTGATCCTTGCTCAAAACTAATGGGTGAAACATAAACAAGGACCTTGAGGTAACACCATCTCCATCGACAATCAACTTTGGAGTACTATAGCCTAAGATACTCCAAGGATCACGATCATCGATTTCCTTAGGTGCAATCAAAGACCATCCTTGAAGATAATGGCCCTCTGACATCGACTGACGTGACCTCAATCGTGACCGATTGTACTCACGTTCAGGATGATTCTCATATTGGACAAAACGGGCGATAGCACCTAAATCCAAATTGTCCAACCACAAAAGCATATGCCTCTTAACTTGTTTTGTCTCAGGCTCTTCGGCATGAATCCTTCTGAGAAGTTCTCTGGCATATGGCTTGTCAATAGATAGTCTGGTGAACAAGGCTCGCACTCTCTCTTGTTGCACCTTCTCACTATTGATGAGCTCCATCATCTCCTCTGCGGACTTAGGATTTCTCAACTCCTTAGCTGGCTCTGGAGCATCTCGTGGTTGTGGTTCATCCACACTAATGTCCAAGTATTCGGGCTCCACATCACAATGTGCACGCACCACTCCATTGTTGCTGAAGTACAGAGGACGTCCAGCCCGAAGCCAAAGAATCACATTAAGCTTCACATACAAGGGCTGTCCATAATCTCTTGGAACCACTGTACCTGGGCCTAAAGGAATGTAAAGTGAAGTCTGTGGATTGCTGTACATAAAATGAACATAATCTCTTCCTTCACCTCTGTTCCTTCTATTCCAACTTTGAGGGTCTCTCATCAAACCATACCTCTCAATGCTGGCCCAGTTCTCCCTTCTGGTAACATGAAAAACATGTCCCAAACATCTTGCCTCAATAGAAGTCAATCTATGATTCAACTTCTCTGGACTGATGTTATGCATGAGTCCTGTATGCCCTTGGTTCACTCCCAAACGCATGGAGAAGGGCATATCGTATTGATTGCCTGTGTTATACCAAACATTCTTGTCCAAGCGAATCACCAAATGAAATCTTTGCTTCTCATCGCTATGCAATATAGCAAAGAAGGTATTAGGATAAATACGAAAAGGTGATGGCATTCGAGCAGTTCCCTCTGTGATCAGAGGCATAAGCTCTATCATTGCCCTACTGTCCATCAACCTGTCGAGAGAACGATCATGTCGTAGCATATAGTTGAGCCCCGTGGCTATCTTCCCATAATCGTTTTGTCTCCACGCGACTCTTGTTGCCACGAACTGCCTACTTCTCTCATATTCATCCTCTTCCTCTTGGGTGACATAGCCAAGAGCGTATCTGGCAATCTCTGCGAACCACCGTACTCGAAAATTGAACTTAGCATGGTTCTCAGGTGCCAAACACATTGCAAGAATGTCAGTTAAGATCAATTCATCCTGCTCTGAGTTCCTATGGAACTCAACTGGCGTACGTGGGCGTCTCAAACGGTTTGCCCAGTTCTGAGGTTGTCCCCAAGGAACCTTTTGTGACCAGTTTCGAGCATACTC